AGAAGGCATGCAACTTAAGACTGCAGCGGCAACACATCCACTGTAGTGAAATGGCCAGTCTCAAGAACAAAATAGTTATTCTAATGTTCTTCAAGTAGTAACTCCACAAATGCTATATAAGGGTTGTTGAAATCGTTGAACATATGCCCAATTCATGAAAATTATATCCATCACACTATAATTAAGTACTCCGAGGGATTTTTTAAAATTAAATTGTGGAATAAGAGATATTTTTCACAAGCCATTTTTTGTGAAATTGTCGGAGTTCATTAGTTAAATGCTACGGTTAATCATTTGTGATAAAGATTGCAATCTTCTACTCCTCTTGATCTCCGACGGATGATACTTATAGGGGTTGGTTCATGTACTTCATAGACATCCCATTAAAAGATATCAATAGATAATGTTATCTAATGGTATGGTTTATCTCCCTTCTTATTATACATATATATATATATAGCAGACCATTAATTCTGATGATTATTGGCATCTAGATTTTGCTGGTCCAGTGTGCACTTGTTTCGAGACTAAATTTATAGCTCTTATATTTCCCTTGCTGTGTACATTACTATGACTGCGAGCCTGCGTGTAGGTGACGACTAGTGGGATCTGGTAAAGACTCCATCACTGTCCTCCTGCCTCGACGAGGGCCATGGTTGGCTCCCATCAACAAGTATGAGAAGTATCTGTGGAACTCCATGGATAGGAACCAGAAGAAGCGATGAGTTGTAGACTTAATCTCGCAAGGATGAAGCATCTGATGCAGAGTTTCTACCGGAGTAAATGAAGCAACTTCAGACTGTTATTAGATCAAACATTGTTTTGTTGGCGATTGAGTTATACTTTCCTTTAAACAAATAAGATTGGAATAAAACCGGAAAAATCCGAATCCATTTTCAAGCAAATCGGGCTGAACATTAGGAGATTGACCCGAATCCGATAAGACCGGTAGGAAGGAAGGAACAGCTCAATTTTGTTCCCTTTCGAATCCTCGGTTCCAATCCCTAGCGAGGGTACTAATTTGCCCCTTCCATCAAATTCCACCGCTCTGGTCGCTCCCAATTCCGACGCCGCTGTCTCCCCTCAAATTCTCGCATGGAATGCGCCCGATCGAACGGCAGTGCGGCGGTCGATGGCGGTGACGGCGAGGGGAGTCGGGGCAGGGCAGGCGGACGCGTCGATTGCGCTACCGTTAGGATGCGGCGGTGGCAGCCGCTTGAGAGGGGAAGAGGTGTTTCCAGTTCGAGAACTAGGAGCACGGAGAGGGATGACGCGTCTTCTTCTTCATCCTCTTCCTCCCGTCAGCGGACGCAGCGGACAGGGATGCGCTTGAGGAATAGACACCGTAGCCTTTGGGCGCCTCGTGTTGGCCGTGGTAACGAGGGTCTCGAGGATCTCGCTCTTCCGCTTGGCATGTCCTTTGCTGCCGTCGTTGCGCAGGTGCGTAATGTTTGTTAGGGTTCGAAGATCGTGTTTTGCTTGTGAAATTCTTTACTTTTTTATGCGTTTCCCTACTTTTTAAACAAATTTCCATGGTTCTATTCCAGAATAGCGATGGACTCTTTTTTTTCTTAAAATAAAATTTCTCAAATTTTTTTTTTGAAGTTATGCACTAGTGGTCGAGTATCTTTGTCCTAATATCTGATAAATAAGTGAATACCAGTCTCATAGGTTCTGTAAACTCTATTATTGAAATGTTACCTTGTTTTTCTTTGATTAAAGAATCTTTCTTTAGATAGTAGTTTCATTATCTTTAAAGAACCTTTCGTTAGATAGTAGTTTAATTATCTTTTTTCTAATTTCTGTGAAGAAAAAAGTTCTTTCAGAATGATAAAAATGTTTAAAAAGTATGAGAATGTTCTAATTGTCTGTCTAATTTTAAGCAAGTGTTTACAATTTGAAGGCAAACAATGTTCAGATTGTATCTATGTAAAGTCATACAATGTCAGTAACAAAAAATTGAAATGAATTGCTTTATAGAATCACATACAGTAAATAGAACATAGGGACACTGCCTTGTTTGTTTATGCTCTCAGAAAACGGTCTCAAGTTGAATTTTCAAGAATGAAAATGATATAATATTTCTTTTTGCAAAGTAAAAAAGAACTGTCTGTTGGGTAGGGAGAAGTTCGAAGGAGCCTCCTGAGTTTATTAAATTGAACAAATGTAGGAAATAATATTCCACACTTATTAGTGGTGGCATCTTAACTTCTGAACACTAACAGGAGCCATAAGAATAATGTATGACTTATTTTTTCGTATTTACTAGATGTGCTAATTTAGTGGTTTTCACTTAGGGAATCTATATAAAGATACACAAAAAATTTCAGAGTTAGTAACAAGTTTTTTCATAGATAGAGAGGAAAATTCTTGAGACATTTAAACACAAAATCCATGGCTTATCAGGCTGTGGGCATCTATGAAAAGAATAATACTATAGATTGAAAAGAATCATCAATATAGAACGTTGACAAAGATTCTCTAAGCCTACCTCTTATAAGGTTGAGGGCAACACACTTGGGGATCTGAAAAGTAGAAATACATTTCTTTGGGTCTGCGAAGAATAATCACTCTCCTAATAGGCCTTCACATGCTAGTTATATGTGTTGCCTCAGACAATGAAAAGAATTCATAATAATTTAAAGTTTGTTTCACTGATCTACCGGATCAACTTGATTCTTTTTTGTCCAAGAATTTTTTTTTAAACCATAAGAGTATGCATGACAATAACAGGTCTTATTTCCCAAGTTTTTTAAAATCATAACAGAGATTCTCCTCCGCAACATAACTAACTTGTCTATTTACCACTAAGAATTAAAACTCAACTCCAGTGAAACTGGACATATTTCAGATTAAAGCCAGTTGATAATTTGTAGTAACAATATAAATGCAGCGGAAATTAAACAGTAATATTAACTAGAAATATTATATGCACCATGGAACACTCTTCTGCTGACATTAAAGTGGCCGAACAGCTTAGAGCAATATTTTAAACAGTTGTATGAATAATGACATGCTTATTGAATTCTTGAATCTTGGTCAAAATAACATCAGGTTGAGAAGCGCTCATGACCTCATGACTTCTTTGGCATCAAGTTGAGAAGCATGTAAAATGACATGACTGCTGATTGAATTTTGTAGGCCAATAAACATTTGGTGATAAACATGATTTACCCAATTTTCTGAAGGTTACTATAGTAGGGCAAATTACACCTCTGAAACCTTTGTGCATGGATGTCTGTACCTAGTCTGTCAAGCTTAGACCATAGCTTTTAATGTAAAATGAATATGCCATGATAAGTTTGATATACTCTATAATATACATATTAATGGTTGGATCACTACAGATTGAACCTCTGTTACTGCCTACCTCTTATCTCCTCTAGACCAGTTGTTTTTGGATATTACATAATTTAGCTAGTAGAATGGACTCTTACGCACAATGATGCTCCAGAAAAGACTAAATTTGTCTTAGGTTTAAAGCGCAACTGAGAGGAACAGTAACACAATATGATACTTGATGTCAGGTCAAGTATGATTGCAAGATTCATAGCTTTCTTAATTCTGGAAAAACAGCAAAAATTAAATTTGAAAAAATTCGAACAACATTATTTAGATGACAACAAATTTCATTTAGAAAGGATAAAGCAAACAAGGGTTTTCTCAGATTAGATCACCAATGATATCAAATTTTCATCGATATCCTTGGACTTAGTTTACCTACTAATCAACCATAAATGCTAAGTCATACATAACATAAGTAAAATTACTGTAAATAAGATATAAGAAGTAGAAGAAGCCAAAATGCATGTCTTTGAATCTGATCAGAAAATATTTTTATCTCAATTACTATTGTTTTGCTACATTCTTTTTCTTCGTTGTTAACGGAATTGATGGAATCATATGTTGGCATTTGATAAAATATGCATATTAGACTAAGAAAATTAGCAAATAATTAAAAAAAAGGGGATCATATGGGGAGTAGACTACATGGTCCCATTTGTCAAACTTGTAGTCTATTTGCCGGCTCTTGTAAACACATGACCAAGCATTTGGAGTGTACAAGACCAAAGACTTGTTTGGGAATAATACATATCCTAGATTTGAAGCTTCTGGACTATCCGAGTTTATATGTTATCCCAACTGTAATGTTGTCTAAACCACTAGGCACTATGAGGTGTCAAGGTCCCTTTATGCGAGGCACTAGGCGCTTGTTTGGGTAAAAATAAGACGCTTTATAAAAGTAAACTAAGAGATACTCACTAAAACAAGGACTGGTAGTAGAGGGTAAGGGAAGAGAAGAAGAGGGAAGTTAGAAGGCGGAGGAAGGTGAGAGAAGTAGAAAGAGAGAGGGTCATGACAATGACAGTTGTAGAGAATGGAGAGGAGAAACAATGAGAGAAAAAGAGGCAAATGAGAAAAGAGGACAAAGTGGGTGGTGATAGTAGGTTTGGCCACAGAGAGGGGAGAGGAGAGCAGTGGGCACCAGCCTCAACTTAACTCATGCACTTGCCTAGGTGGTGAGCAATTTAAACATTTCTTGCCGAGGGTACAAGCCTACAACATGCTCAAGCCTCGCCTTGCCTTGTCTTGAGTGCCTTGGTGAGCATCTGAGCACCTCTTGACATCATATTGTGATTGGTACTTAAATATAATCAGAAGCAGGAAATGAGAGGGTCATGACAATGACAGTTGTAGAGAATGGAGAGGAGAAAAAGTGAGAGAAAAAGAGCAAGGGAGAGAAGGGGACAAAGTGGGTGGTGATAGTAGGTGTTGGCCACAGAGAGGGGAGAGGCGAGCAGCGGGTGCCAGCCTCAACTTAACTCATGCACTTGCCTAGGTGGTGAGCAATGTAAACATTTCTTGCCCATGGTACAACCATACAAGGCGCTCAAGCCTTGCCTTGTCTTGTCTTGGGTGCCTAGGCAAGCATCTGAGCACCTCTTGACATCATATTGTGACTGGTACTTAAATATAATCAGAAGCAATCGTAAATGAAACATTTCATTGAACTCGTAGAGCAGTGTAATATACTAGAAGCCATTACTAAAGCATTTTATATTGCAAACCTGGCTTATGTTTGATAGAGAATCTGAAGAGGAGAAAGTATCAAAATTACCTTAGAGCAAAGAACCATGAACATTTCTAAGACAATTTCTTCTACCACAGTAATTTGAGAGAGAGGCAGGGGATGAGGGAGAAATGAAGGAGACTTTGGAGTCCCACCTGCTGGTCCCAGAACCTCTTTTGATGGACACCTGTCAGCTCGAAAATCACTATCTGTGCCCCGTTCCTAATACCCAACAGCAGCAACACGTTACCTATACGGGCAGAATTTGGAGGGATGCATGGCCAAAAGAGGGAGAGAAAGAAGAAATGAAATATCTAAAAGCTATGCTCATCTTTTCTTTTGAAAGAAAACTGAAAATGTTTTTCAGGAAATTTACCAGACAGTGCCCCTTTTTTTGCTTCCAAGCTGATGACATTCTGGAAAAATATGATTCAACTTTTGATATGCAAATGTTTAGTTAATTGTCAGCAAAGATCATAGTCTTGTGTGAATTTTCTTATTCTATCACCTGTACTCAATTATTTGAAAAAATAAAAATAGCATGTGCATCAGTAATTTTAGTTAAGTTTCTTAGACCAAAAGGATATGATTGATTGTTTTCATTGAAAAAGTGATTGATCATGTTCACACAGTATTTCTAGAAGGATCTTGCCTAGTATAATAATTAAGTGCCATTTATTGAATAACTACATAGAAGTTATTGTCTGTCTGGGCTTCTAGTTGGTGAATATGCCACCTGATCTTGGAGATTTATTTTTTGTTTTACCTGATCAGTTTAACGATTATTATAGATGGTGGGTGCATTTGATTACCAAGCCGATTGCATGATGAGTAAAACTTCAACTTGGGAGAGTGTTTTGGCTATGAGTGATTATAGTGAATCAAGTGCATGTTCAGTAGCCACAGGAATAGATCAAAATATTGAAACCATGATCATTTTCATTAAATGTTAAACCACGTTAGCATCTTATTATGTAATACTAGGGTGTTTTTACCTTGTTTTTTTTTTTGAGCGTTAGTGGCCATTTGGTTGATGTTAGGAATTCCTTGATTCAGATTTTGAATGGCAAGAACATCTCAGGAAGGAGGTCACAGATAAATCATTTTTCCATGGTACATTTTTAAATTCATACAAATGGTTTTCATACTATCAGATTTTTTATAATTGTCTGATATGAATATGCTTTTGGTGCAGATTTGTACTTCAGCAGTTAAAGAATCTATAACAAATGTAAGCCTGCCTTAAACCGAACATGTTGCTATTCAGAATAACCTTTTATAATTCAAAATCAGTATTTTACATGACTTTCCATGAGATCTATAATTAATTTTCTATTTGGACAGATATACGGCAATAAGTTTGACTATTTCATAAGAAACTTTGATAAGTCGTTCCAGAGCACATTGAAGACCCTATGTCTGATTAACAAAGCATCTATTACTAAGCAAGAAAATACTGATTGCAGTTTTTTCACATGCAGTAGTAGTGAATATACACCTGAATTAGCCAATCCTGAACCTGTCAGTGAAGTTGAAAATCTCCAAGAAAATATGCCACTGAGTTCTATGAGCTATCAACTTATTCCTTATGGGCAGGAAAATCAGCATCTTGCAAATATTTATCACGGCACATCTAATCATAGGTTCAGTCATTCTATTCTGGATACTTATGAGAGATCTGTTGTTGAGCAGACACGCTCTAATGACCTGAAAACTGTTGAGATAGGTCTAGTCATGGAAAAGTTGAAACTAAAGCAATCCCAATTAGCCCTTAGTTCCGATGCAAATTTGTTGGAGAAAATAAAGATATCCATGGGTATCTCAAAGGCTTCCTTTAAAGAAGAGAAATTAAGGAATCAAATGCTGGAGACCAGGCATGCAGAACTCTTGAAGAGATGCATTGATCTCCTAGTCACTGGGTTGATTATAATGTGTGGCTTTCTTCTCTATGGAGCATCAATTTATTCCTTACAACGCATCACAGAGGTGACATCTGCCTGCAATTACACTCTTAAGGTATCTCTTAATATTTCGATGTTCTTAATTTGAATGCTGGTATTCTTGGATATTTAAGCTTAGCAGAATTTTTTTTCTTTGTTGTCCCAGGATTCCAGATCGTGGTGGATCCCGAAATCAGTTCAGTCTTTTAGTTCAGGGTGGCTAACACTGAGATGTCATTTTGTGGTCCTGACCCGCATGTGTTTTGGAATATTGATGATTTTAGCGATTGCTTACTTGGTTTTTCAACGCTCGGCAATGTCAGGTCCAACTATGCCTGTGACTTTTTTGGTTATGCTATTGGGAGTTGTTTGTGGCTTTGCTGGTAAGCTATGTGTAGACACATTAGGTGGGAGTGGTTACCATTGGTTAATTTATTGGGAAGTTCTCTGTATGCTTCATTTCTTTGCCAATGTTTTCCCATCTGCATTTCACAATATTCTTTATGGCCCCGTCGCTGTGACCCAAGTGGCCAACACAGTCAGGTTGCCATACTGGGTAAGACGATATGCATTCTACATTCTCCTGCTGCTGATTCTTCCCACACTGAGTGGTTTGCTGCCATTTGCTTCAATTAACGAATGGAAGGTGCATTTTTCTGAGAAGTTAGCTTTTTGGAGTTCTGGTATTGGGTACGAAGAGACATTTGGAAATATATATGGTCCATGAGAAGTTTGTTTTCCTGCAGTTACTCCCTGATTAACCTTATCTTGCAAGGTAGAAAGATTCAGACTTCTGCTGAGTAGTGTGCTTATGGTGCTGGTGTTGGTAACTACTGGTATTTATGTTGTAACTTCAATTAATTAACTGTTGCTCAATGTAACCTTGGAATATTGGATGGCATACTCAAATATCATGGACAGCTTGGCTGGGTTGGTCGGCACAGAATCTGGATACCTATTTCATGATCTTCAAATCTACTATGATGGTGAACATTGCAGTTGTTATCAGGTGGACACTAAGCAGTATCCAAAGCAGCAAATATTTCCAGGTTACTTGATAAGATGATAAATGTTGTATCAATATGTTGCCGATTTTTCCTGCATTGTTGCTGTTTGCTTCAAATAATAACTGGAAGTTGAATTTCTTTTAGAAGTGATTTATCTGGAGCTCAGTTATTGGCAATGAGGGAGATACATGTCAGAAATATACTTGTGAGTTCTAAACTTGATTCTGCAAAGTTGTAGCATCCCAAGTTTTATGGAACAGTTAATGCCATTATCAAAGATGCTTTTTGAAATGACTATCAAGTGAGTTTGTTATAGTGATTTATTTGCTTCAGTGCAAAATTGTGTTTATTGTGAAGTAGAAGTTCGAGAACAATATCTAGCGTTGTTGTTTAAGTTAAAATCTAGTATTGACGGGTCTTCTACTTCGTTATCATGATCTACATTTCCTGCTCGCAGAAAGATGGAATCAATGTATGCAGAGCTGAAGAATGGACTCCTCAAAATTGAAGGACAATCTGAGAGGTTCAGTAACATTATTTAGTGTTGTTGTAACTTTAATGAATTCATCAATCACTGGTTATTGTTGCTTTAGAATCATCTGGTATTTGTGTTGTAACTTTAATGAATTATCAACCACTGCTCTTTTGTGACTTCAGAATCGTGTAGTATTTGTGATGTCATGATCTGCATTTCCTGCTTGCAGAAAGATGAAATAGATGAATGCAAAGCTGTAGTTTGAGCACTTCGGCGGGCCGAATCACCCGTCAAATTTGCAGGGCTGATTTGCCCCTACGGTGCTCCCGGGTTCACTGACCTTGCGCGGGATACCCTGAACCGTGCTTTCGACAAGGCAGGTGATCTCCTTACTGGATTTCTGTATCATACTAACCCGATCCGACTCAACACACGAAACTCTCCTGATCGACGGTCACTATTGATCGACTCAAGTGCACTTGGATTTCCGTATCATACGCCCACACCGCCACACGTCCTTCGCGCTTCCGTCTGTTCCAATCGAAGGCCGGAGCGCGAGTCCGCATGACAGCCCGGAAGGCCACGTTAATCGAGTCGGTACTCCTCGTCACCATCACCACCATCGTAGGTCTTTCCCAGCCGAAGGAACCCGCAACCGGAGCAAAGCCTGCGAGCCAAGCGAACGAGAGAAGGCGAGCGAAGCTGGTTCACGCCCACCGGCCTCCCACCATCGTTCCGAGAAACGCACCGACGCACTGCGGGAGAAAGCGAGCGTTTCCTTGATGAGAGAGAGAGAGAGAGAGAGAGAGAGAGAGAGAGAGAGAGAGAGCGAAACACGGAAGAAGACCAAGCGGGTGCCGCCCTCCGTTCCATCACAAGTTTTCTCTTGTTCTTCTTTGCGTGGATCACGCAAGAAGACCCCTCGTCGCCGCAATTGTCCGAGATTTCGCGGAAAACCGCACCGCTCCTCGCCGCAACTGGCTCACTTCTTCTTTTCGATTGGATTGTTGCTCTCAGCATCGATAGGTGCCTGTTAGGGTTCGAGTTCATTGCAATGTACCCCGTAATTTTGAAGCGGAGGGCATTTCTGCCCTCCTTTTTTTTCTTGACTTCAATCCCATTTTTGTCCCTCTCTCAATCCCTTCGTTCCGAGTCTAGGGTTCTTGATTCACGTCGGCGCTTGTCGTTTTAGGGTTTTTGACCGCCTTTTGGATGATTGCTCCTTCTTGATCATTAGAACTCTTCTCTTCCTATGGGTTTTTTGAGTTTGAAGCGAGTTGCTGGTTTTTTGGGGGCCATTGTTGCCTGGAATTTGGTCTCAGCGCCATGCTGTGGATGTTTGAAACCTGTTAATCTTCATCCTCTCAATATAAGCGTGTGAAGCTCAAGCATTCTGTTTGTCCCGGATGGGTATCTATGCAGTTTAGAGTTCTTGGCAGAATAAATCTTGCTCTTGATTATGCTAATTTAGCACCAATGGCCGTGGTGTTTCGGCAAGCATCACCCTCTTCTGGAAATAGTGTGATGGAGTGCCTCTGAGAGCATGTTTTGTACAGGAAATAGCATTTATTTGACGAGTTGATGTCAGAAGGTTTTTGCTGTATATAGATAATGGTCTGTACTGAAAATGGAACGAGGTGAGCCAGCATTGGTTCCACAGTGGTACAGATTAGCAAGCGGGGGCACTTTCAACAATGCCTTGCAAACCAGCTCTTTCAAACATTTGGGTATTTATTACTCTGAGTTCATCATGAGTCTTACTGTTGTTTGTCTTGCTGTTTTCTTGTACTGGTATCGTATGGTAAATTTTTCTACTAATATGTACTTTTGTTTCTCACAGATAAAATTGGTATTGAGATTGGTTCAAGAAATATATTACTTGGCGACCAAGATAGGAATTTGCAAGGGAGTTTGAGCTCTAATGGTTTTGTAAATAATGATAAAGGTAGCTATGGTAAATCACTGGCTTACAGTAGTTTCCGCAGGTCTCGTGATAAACATCAGGAGAAGGGTTTTGAGTACTGTGATAGGGAAAATTGGTCTTTGGTTGGCATTGGACTTGACCACCATTATTCATCTCTTGGAGTTAGGGCTGAAAAAGATGCCTTGAGTCATTCCCAGTCTATGATAGCAGGAAGGCAAGTTGACTCCTGGCCTAAAAGACCTGGAAGCAGTGCAAATAACAGTTCTTCTGGGGCAAGTGTAATTGGTAGCATTTGCAAGATTGCCTTTGAGAAAGATTTTCCATCCCTTTGAGCTGAAGGGAAGCAGAGCTTTTCAGATGGAGGTGGTGCATCACCTACTGGTCTTAGAACTGCTGTTCAGAGTCTTCCTTTTCGTTCTCCCATCATAATTGGAACTTCAGTTCTGGCAGAAGTATCACTTAAAGTTTAAACTAATGGAACTGCATTCTCACCTGTCTGACAAGCTGCTCCGCTCCCTTTTGTCAGGCATACACGGTGGGAAGCACTATGGCAGGATTGAACATAGCAGAGGCATCGGCTCAGGAACCATCTCAAATTGTTAACACTCCTCAGGTAATCTATAGGATGGAATGGTGGTTGTTTCTTTTTTCATCAGGGAGATCTAGTTAACTTCGCATAGGTTTCTCTGCAGTTATCTGTTGACACTCAGAGGATTGAGGAACTTACTCCTAGAAAATGCAAGCAATTAATACCTGTGATGCCTCCAACATCTAAAGCTTCAGTATGATAATTTCCTTTTTTTCTTGGCAAGATATCTTTTCCTACATTGACACTATGATTGAATATATTGCTTCTTTTCGTCTTTCTTATTGTTAAAATTCTTTGATAAGAAGAATCTCCTTAAAGATTAATCTATCTTATTGACCTTGAGCTTAAGCTTCCTGATTAACCTTAATTACAATCTCCATAAGAGTATTTAGCTAAATATGTGTCCTTTACACTGATAACGTTGTGCATCTTTTGTAAATTGGATTGATAAAAGTATACTGTATTTGTTCTAGCAACCATTTAAATTAGGGTATGAGTGTGGATTAACTTTCTAAGTTAGGCCATGTTATGTGCTGCATGGAGAATCCTGTGAAGTTCTGTAAACACGAACATTAGTCTATGATTTTTTTTAATTCTGCCCTAGATAAAATATTTTGTAAAGGCAGTTTAAATGTATATTATATTTCATGGTACAACTCATTTTTGACGGTGCACATCATGTTATGAGGCTCCAATAAAAGCACGATTTATTTGCATATTTTTCAGTTTTGTTTTTTAAATATAATGGTGGACTTTATGTGATTTCAAACTTTGAAATATTGGTTTGGCAATTTAGGTTGAACATTGACATGACATGTAGGAGATTGTCAGTTGGTTGGCATCTTTAATCATGGTGGACTAAATTTTTTCATCAAGACTAACAATGCCTCTTTTCCGTTATAGAAGTAGGAATCTGGCAAAGACTAGAGTTTGTCTGATAATATAGACAGAAAAAACTACTTCGAGATTGTGGATATTTTCTCCTTGATGTAATATGTAGGAAATCTTTTGGTACAAGAGATAGAGTTTGTTGACAAGGTTTTAAAACAATTTATTAGTGGAACAGGTAACAGTTATTGAAGTGGTCTGTTGTAGAAGGTAATTTGTGTTTTTGTGTTCTTTTATTTGTTCTACAAGCGTTATCAATCTTTGGACAGACTCTACTTGCTGCAATCCATGATGAGCATGTTTAAGGTCTCTGCAACAGAAATTATGGAGTTAATGCCATGATTTATGATTTATTTGATAATATTTGAATTTCATGTTGAGCATGTGCTGGCTTGAGTTGGTATGATGCATATCGTGCCATGTGTTATTGTGCCGAAGTGGAATGATGCATCAAATGTTGTGCCTTTTACGTTATCATTTAAAGATAAACAAGAATTTATATCTTTTTTCTTTTTTTCTGAAGCAAGTTGGATGCTGTCTTCAGATAACATTATTATCTGGTCTTCAGCAATGATTATTATTTCTCAAATACATATAGAAACAAGAGATGATGTTTTTTGATAGAGAAGGAAATCATATGTTGATAGGTGTACTGTTTATCTCTATGGTCAAGATGAGATTATTGCCCAAATGGAATTTGATTGTCCTTGAGTTAGAGAGGATGTTGGTGGCATATTTTAGGTGATTATGTTCTTTCCTTACAATATCTGATTTGGTTGTCAATGGTAGTTCTGTAGAAGCTTGTTATCATGAGGTATAGCATGACTGTGGTAATGCTGGGCATTAATTCTTGTTTGTAGTCTAGTCTCATCATGATGCAAGACTTTTCAGTCAATCAATGTTGCACAAGAGATTTTTGTACAGTTGTTACAATTCACTGCAAAAAACAAAATGATGTCACCATGGAAACTACTCGGAAAGTTCAACCATCACAAATTTAGGCAAAAGTTCTTGCTAAAAAGCGAGAGTATTGTTTGCGTGTTGTCAGCTCAATCTTATTGGTAGTTGAACCTCTAGTCAGAGTGATAAGCAGCACATGCAGCCAGAGGATATCATTCTAAGGTTCCGGGCTTTTGGTCTCCAGTTTCCATATCTATGTTACACAAAAATGTGAAATAGCATACTGAAGTGGAACCTACAAGCACATACAACACATGAAAATCACCACCCACCTTCTTGGTAATGTTGGGTTTATTGGCTCACTGAACCATATTTTGTGGATAACTCGGAACTAGGAGAGGGATAGCACTTGCGTCAACCAATGATGCAAACTAATTGATAATCTTGGAGGATGATTTGATCATTCCTTTTTTATAGTAGTTTTGTACTTTTCTTCTCTTTTCCCTTTACTCAAGTTGTGTTCTTGCACATGGCATGGAAGTGCCCATAGAAATGGGTAGTCAATCTACTTGTTTTATACTGACAATTTGACATTTATGTTTTTCATATATAATCTCTTAGAAGTAGTTTACATGTGTAATATACCCTAGAGAGTCCATTGGTCAGAAACTGACACAAGCAAGAGATCCAAGTTTTGAAGAGAAGACTAGTAGAGTTTGAATATACATTTTTACACAACTTGATTAGAAGTAGTAAGAGGATAATTATGCCCTTTGATGATCTGAATGGCAAGATGTACTTTTTGGGTGATGAAATCTAGAAGCTAAGTGCAAGAGGGTTATTTTTGTAGAATGTCAACTGTAGTTGCAACTTTGGCAAGATATCTAAGATAAGGAAATAGGCTTGTGTATTTTATGGGGCATAGACATGGATATGGGTTACTTATACAACATAGTTGAAACATTGTTAAATTCTTGAAAAAAAATAAATATCATATTATGCAAATATGTCAACAAGAAAATCTTAAAATCTCATATTTTGTATATTTTCTTTTTGGTTTGATTCAGTGTTGCAATTGAGCAGAACTGAAATATGCTCTATTCAGGCTGCTTGACTTGTATTAGGATAACTCAAGCTTGGCTTGAAACTTGAATCAAGTTTGAAATGACTTTTGATTTCAGTTCATTATGATTTTTTGCAAGCTCAATTTTGGTTCAAGTTTGGCCTGTCACACATTTTTTTACAAGTGCTTCACAGCCCCACAGATAAGGCCTTAGCTTATGAGACCTGTTATCTTCATTTGAATCTTAGCATATTTGGTTTTTGGATCTTATTTTCAAAAGGGCTTTATCACATTGAACTTTGTGTTCCTATTTTTGAGAAAGCAGTTTTTCCATCCATACTTATAAAGATGTGGATTTGTTTTAATGCATAAATGAGCTTGTTCAAGAGTATGATCTTGTCCATGAGCTTATTAATGAGTCAGCTGTAACAAATTGAGTTCTGCCATGTTCAATTATCTCCCGTTAAAAAATCAAGTTTTAGAATTAAGATTATCTTTGAATTAGTCTCTAACAAGTTGAACAGTCATTTGTGACCATAGTTTGATTCGAGAAAGATATGACAAGCATCCAACAAACCCAGAATTGATTTGTATGGATATATCTATCAATTGCAAAAATAATATTCAATTTCATGTTTTAACAATAATTGATGTTTATATTAAGGGTCAGAGTTTGAGTTATAGAACATGATACACAATTAGTAGTTAACGAGCATTGCTAAGCTATTCATTAATATAATGGTTTGCTAACATAATGCTAAAAAATATAGAGAAAGTAAAAAAGAAACAACTATAAGACAAATAAGATACAATTATTATTTTATCAAGCATAGTATAATGTTTGATACAAATGTCATGAAACAACATATCTCTATAGACTATTTTCAATAAAAAAGTTCTTATTTATTCACAAAGCATCTCCAAGTATTTCCATGTATATGATTCTTTAGTAATTGTTTGAAAAATTGGATAATTCAATATCTTACACCCATCTGAGAAGCATCAGACACATATTATACCCAGGTTTTCTACCATGGCCCCAGAAACAATCTGAAATGTTCATGTTCATAGTCTAAGAATTTTGAAAGTTATTTAAGCTGCAATAGGTACATATTTTATTCCTTTATCCTGTTCTACAGGAGATTAGCCTTGTATCTTATTATATGGTTCTCATGAGATGCAACGTGGATGTGGTCAGCTAATAAGCTAAAGATCTTTGTTATGAGTGGTTAAGGAGTGTTGGCTGTGCATCTTGTTCTTCTGTTTCTTCTTCCACATTTTCTGTTTGTGAAGGCAATGGTTTTCTGGTTCCTTTTGTTTCACTCTTGCATTATTTGTATTTCAAAAATATTTTCATCAGAGTGTACTCTTTTCAGAGTTGCAACTCATCAGAAAAGACAATCAAAAGTTGCAAGAGGCAGAAACTTTACCTCTGTTACTAAGATCAGCTAGCTGTCACATGTAAACCATAATGTCCGACAGCCAACCAGATCTGACAATACAAAGATATCTCCATGGGGAAACTTTCAAACTCTTAACCGAGAGAAGAATGGCATCTACCCCACTACAAAAGATGGCCCAGGTATCGGTAAAGTAATGAACTCCATTGTCCTTGTTCCATCTGGTGCAGTACTTCTTTTGAAGAGCCCAACTTACCAAAAGCTTAAAGATGACAACAAGAATGGTGCCTTGGTCCATGACTCATTTGGGGAAAGAAAACTCCTGTCTCAAGCCCAGAATAGGAATGATTTCTTTAATTTACTAAGGAAGAAATCATGGACTAGTTCAGGTAGTATTTCAGAGCCAACTTCTATTGAAACCACATCAAGCTTGGAGATGCCAGAAGCTGAGAACCTTCAAATCGTTTCCCTTGTCCGTATGGGAAAGAACAGCTTTCTGTCAGCATCTGGTTTGGACCATTTAACAGATAACAGAAATTGTTTGAACAGAGATCATTGTGCCTCTGATGAGTCTCGGAGATCTCATGCTGGTAATGGAGAAACTAGTTATTTGGACATTGCTGTTGACCCAGAAGAAGAAGCCTTCTTACAGTCTCTTGGATGGGATAAAAATGCTGGGAGGAAGCTCTAACGAAGTAGGAGATTGATGCCTTTCTTAAGAAGGTAACTTCTTTCACATCTATGTGGTCGATGTTATCATTTTTCTATATCCGACTGCTTATGTTGCATCTCTTTCCCATCTTTTTTTTTTTGTTTCAGTATGAGAAACAGAGGCTGTTGAAGATTGTGCCGTCAAATCTGCATTGCAGCATCTTGTCTGTTGCAGATTCATGAAGACTCAGTTTCTTAATTGGATTTCTCATCGATATTTATACTTGAAATGACTTGTTCGAGGTTGGTTGAAAGGATCAACGAGTTCTTTTGCCTTTAACTGCTGAAAAGAATTTGAAAATGCATAATAAGGTTATAATTGCACGAGTCTATCGAACTATGGCATGTGAACTTTAAGGCTTTCTCCACAGTGTTCTCTTTTTGCATAATGAAATTGTCTGGGGAAATGGATTAATTTGAAAAAATTTGTCTTTATAATTATTGGAAATTTGCTTTTTCCATCGTATGGTCTAGTCATCTCTGACTGTTTTGTTTCTATCAAGGCTTTTTCTATATACATTTTTGGTCAATCGTTTACTTGCCTAAGTAATTATTTTTTAGTAGGGCGGAAAATATATCGACCTACACTTATTGGTACAGGAGTCATGTCTATTATATGAGTTGCGGTGATATTATCAATTGTTGGAAATGGCAACGATATGCATTTAGTGTAATCAAATTCATATTTCACAGAGGTACATATTACAAACAAATATGTATTATTTTATTGAAACTACTTAGTTATATCATGGTATTTAAATAACTAATTGTCCTTGAATTCTGCTGGTATGAGCGTCTTAAATCCTACATGTATACATAGATCATTTTGGTTTTCGAATGCGCCTACGTTGCGCATCGCTTGCCCCTGGTTTTTTATATGCTTCTGAGATTGTAGCCGTCGGTATTTGTGCTTGCTTAGTGGACTCAGTTATAAAGGTCGCTTGAAAGCCGTCCATCTCAGATTGTTGATTTGATCATATGAGATGGGCGGTTGAGATTAATGGCAGAAATGGGATGAATACCCTTCGCGGCTTTACCACGAGAGTATAGTGGCTTGGATGATGGGGTTTAAGGTCATAAGCAATCTGTAAACTCAGCAATGTAGGTGTCATCTTGTAGACGCAAGATGGCCGCTCAAACTCTCACTCAACTCCCTCCCGTTCCTTCACCGCCGCGGCGGCGGCCCCAACCACACACTCGCCCTCTTCCCCGACGACACCTTTCCTCCACCACTCTCCCAAATCTCTCCTCTTCTGTCGAGAATTGTTCGGCGCGGGATGTCGTCTCATGGACCGCTGCCATTGCCCGCCAAGCCCGACGCGGCCGCCTGTCCGACGCTGCATGCGCCTTTGGAGACATGCTTTCTGCAGGCGTCAACCCCAACAACGTCACCCTCGTCGCCCTCCTCTCCGCCTGCGCCGACTTCCCATCCTACCCCTCCGCCCTTCCCCTTGGGTGCGCCATTCACGCTCAGTCCCTCAAGCGAAGGCGCCCGGACGCTGCTCCTGAGGAAGTCGTCGTTTTCTCCACCGCCCTCGTCGATATGTACGCTAAGTGCGGCCGGGCAGACCTCGCTGGCGAGGTGTTCGACCGAATGCCCGTTAAGAACACTGTCTCCTTCAACACCATGATCGCTGGGTACATGCGGGCTGGGGACGTCGACCATGCCTTGTCTTGGTTCAACAGAATGCCGAGGAAAGATAAGGTATCTTGGACCGTGGTGATTGACGGGTGCGTCAAGAATGGTCTTGTCGAGGAGGCATTGGATTGTTTTCGAGCGATGCAGCTCAGCAGGATCGATGCAGATTACGTGACGATCCTAGCAGTCATTGCGGCTTGCACTAGCCTGGGAGCTCTCAACCATGGGCTTTGGGTGCATCGGTACGTCAAGAACCATGGCCTCTCGAACAATGTTCGGCTGGCCAATTCCCTCATCGACATGTACTCAAGGTGCGGCCGTGTCGATTTCGCTCACCAGCTGTTCGAAAGAATGTGCACGAGAACACTGGTGTCTTGGAATTCCATTGTTGTTGGATTTGCAGTGAATGGTTGCTGCCATGAGGCTATTGAGCATTTCAAGATGATGCGGAGTGAGGGATTCGGGCCCGATGGAGTGAGCTTCACAGGTGTGCTTACCGCCTGTAGTCATGCTGGTTTGGTACATGAAGGCCTGAAGTTTTACGATCTGATGAGGGAACACTATAAGTTGCCACCGAGAGTTGAGCACTTCGGTTGTCTGGTGGATCTACTCAGCCGGGCTGGGAGGTTGGAGGAAGCCGTGAGCACGATCGAGAGCATGCCTTTCCGGCCAAATGAGGTAGTCTTGAGCTCACTTCTGGCTGCTTGCAGGGTGCACGGGGATATCCAACTAGCAGAGAGAGTGACAGCATACCTTCTGCACTTAGAGCCAGAATGTGACTCCAATTACGTGCTCCTGTCAAATATTTACGCTGCGGATGGGCAGTGGGACGGCGTCGGTGCACTCCGAAGCAAGATGAAGGCCATCGGAGTGACAAAGACACCAGGATGTAGCAGCATCGAGATCGGTTGCGAGATCCATGAGTTTGTAGCTGGAGATGGGTCACACCCGCAGTCTGATGACATATATGAGATGCTTGACCTCCTTCGCTGCGAGCTGAAGCTCTGGGGCCATGATCCGAAGATAATTGTAGGTGCTACAGATGACTAATGTACCTTGTTGCTGCATAATGGTGCTGCTCGAGGTTGCAGCAGTTCTATTGCAGCCAACAAAGAGAGCGCGAGGGTGTCATCCACATGGAAGCGGAACTCATTAGAGACATTGTGAACGGTTTTCACAGCAGTTGTGTATGAAGATGTCAGGCGGTCATCTGTGCAGAAAACACGCATGAGATGCAGAAATATGGATGAAAGGAGCTGCCAAACATCCGATAAATGGTAATTATGCATTCTTGGATTTTGTTAAAAGAGACATGAAGAAATTTAATGGTATTTATATGTCTTAGCTGATGGGCCTCTCCTATTACTACATCTAATTAGACATATACCGTCTTGTATGCATCTAAACCCAACAAGGTTAAAACCTCCGTCAATTGTAATTTCTGTTTATGTCGGTGTATCAAAGCCCCTTCGATTGGCGTACCCACAAAACCTGTTAAGGTAGGAATTACGACTAAGATTCACGGATGACAAATGTACTTAGTATACATTTGAGATAAAGGGTATCACTGAGATGGATTGTGTTTTATTGGAAAGAAATTACAAGAATTTGATATGAACATTTTATTTCCAACAGTTGCACAAGTGCAACATTTAATTGTATGCAATTTTATTTTACATAAGTGCAATTTGGGAATTAAATATGATCCATATTCTTTAAAGCATTTGGGCCGGGCTTGTAAGAGGCGCCTCGTTCTGTGTTGGTTTGGGGTTTCATCTTTCTACTTTTTAAATCGCGTTCGAAGAAATGTTCGACCGGAAGCGGGAAACTGCAAGATTAGGGATGCGAGGAGCAGCAGGAGGAGGAGGCCGCGGTGTTCGTCGGCGGTACACCAAGGCCTCCACCGGCCCCCCAGACAGGGCAGCGCCCCTTCCGTCGCCCTTCGACGTGGCCCGTCACTTCGACTTCGCTTCGGTCGCCGGCGGCCGCGACTCCGACGCCAGCCTGTGCAGCGGCCGCCCCTCCTCCGCGGGTGGCCGCCCCGCCTCTGCCCTCCTGACTGACCGCTCCGCCCAGTCCTCCGCCCTCCGCGCCGTCAACGCCTTCCTCACCTCCCACTCCGCCCCGGTCTCCCTCAAACCGCCGCTCCCCGCCGCCCGCGACATCACCGAAGCGCTCCGCTTCATCCTCGCTCGGATGGACTGGCCCCTCGACGACCTAGACGACGACCTTCCCGCCCTCCTCCGCAACCTCCATTGCCCCCTCAAGCTCAATCGCTCCGCTCTCAAGGCCCCCGGCACCCCCCACGCCTGGCCTCACCTCCTCTCCGTCCTCTACTGGCTCATCCAGCTTGCCCGCGTTTCCGACCACCTCGCCGCCTCATCGTCACCTCAGCAGGATCAACCCAACGACCTCCTCCTCTTCGTGACCCGCAGCTATTCCCTCTTCATCAGCGGCGAGGATGACGCCGTGGAGGAGCTCGATGAGGAGTACCTCGGCAAGGCCCAGCACCAGGCCGCCAACACCGCTGCAGCCATTGATGCCCTTGAGAAAGAGGCCACCGAGCTCGAGGCCAAGCTCCAAGCTCTGCAAGCGGAGCCATCGAAGAAGAAGGCCCTCGAGCGAGAGAAAGGCATGCTGGTGGAGGATGTCAAGAAGTTCCAGGCGGTGGTGGACTCTTGGGGCGGGAAGGTGGCTGCGATGGAGTCTGCACTGGGAGAGTGGGAGAAGGAGCTGGAGGCCAAGGAGAAGGAGAGCAAGAGGCTGTGCGAGGAGAATGAAGAACTGCATAGGAGGATTGATACACAGGCTGTGAACGTGCGTGATGTGGAGAGGATGAAAAGGGAGATGCAGGCAGTTGAGAGGGACATCGCAGATGCAGAGATAGGGAGAAATGCATTGGAGGAGAAGGCATGGGAACTCGAGGAAACTGTCAGCAGGAAGATCCATGAAACTGAGGTACTCTTGGAACAGTGCAATCAGGCTGTGAGAAGGTACTCCTCTTTCTTCTTGATCTAGTTCATAATCCAGCCACTCAATTTTGCTGTCATGATTCTTTTATGCATTTAACTAGTAATAAGCTGTAAAAGCCATTGTTCAGTAATCTGCTTGGTTTGGCATCTTATTTCAATGATTCTGATGCCATGTAAGTTTCTTTAGGAATCCTTTCATACCATCTACTAAACTATAGCTTTCATGTTAGATCATTCGTATGTTTGATACTATTAATTTTGCTGAATCATTTGTTTGTTTTGGATTAAATTAAACTGAACCTATATTTTATGTTGACTAGATTGATTGTTGGACAAATTATTCTGCCATTTGGGTCATGCTCATTTTCCAATTTGATTTACCTGTTTTTGTCTTCAACATCATGGCCTTATTCAAATTATATCAAGTGATATCACACCCCATAAGCTTTTACAGCTCAAGATTGAAATCCTCCATATAAAATCAGGTTAAAAAAATGAATAGTTTCAGGGGTCTACTCCCTGTCTGTACAGATCATTTTGTTGAATGTTTTAGATACATGATTCAAATATATTGGTTAGCTTTCTTAGATGTACCATTTCATTGGTAAAATTTGAAAATATTCTTTGTTGACAACCATCTTGATATCGATGATGCATACTTGAGGAACTGTTTTCAATATGGACTGAACTGATCATGATCATGTGATTCATTTTTGTAGCATGAAAAAAATATGTAGGGAATTGATGTGTATGATAGATTTAAAACTTGTCAAGTACATTATTCAGGTATCAAAATCTCCAAGATCATAAGGTTAGCTGCAGCTGAGTGTCTCAGTCTTATCGGTACGCATCACTGATGTATACTTTGATCATGGTGTTAGACAGATGTGCTATTGCTATGCTGGAAGATGTATTGTTAGGTTATTCAAGAACATAGATTGAATGAAATAATCATATTTGTAGTCTTTGCTATTCATGCTATCTAATAAACCTTTTGTCCTTTGAACATAGAGTAGGTTAGAAATTGCAAAATTGCAATGAGTTTGGTCATGTCAAAAAACCTTAAATATCCTAAGGCATATAAAAAGACTAAACCAAGTAGAACAAAATTACTTGTTCTAGATTGACTCGTACATGCTTGCTTGTAGCTTCAGTCGAGTGATGTCTGTATTACTATGAATGTTTTTCTTTGTTGTTAATTTTGAAAGATGATCAAGTGTTCTTCTACTAACTTCTCAGGTTAAAGCTTGGGATTGATTTTCAGTATGTGCTAAATTCTAAAGGTTCTTCACCAGCTGAGGTCTTGGGGATTAATTACAAGAGTATCCTAAAACCTGCACTTGTTGCCCTTTCTGAGGACACGAAGAAAATATCAGTCTCAAAGTTGGAGGAGTCAATTACTTTACAAGAACAATCACAAGAAAATGCTAAAGTACTTGAGGAGAAAAGGAACAATCTTGCATCTTTTCAGGCCAAAATAGATGAGGTTCTTATTTTACTTTATTACAATTTAAGTATCTCCATGTATCTCTCTCTCTTTGCTAACACATATATAAGTACTTAGTTACCAGAGTTTCCTATAATGTCTCATCCAGTGGGAGTTTGTTGTTATTAGTCGGTGATATTTTTTTGGGTTTAGTGTTGTTCTGATAAGCATTGCTTTTTCTAATATACCTTAGAGAAAAATTTCTGAATCCAAGACTAATAGTTTGCTCACCTCTTCTCATGTAAATAATCAGGAGCAAGAGTTGCTTGTTTCTTTATCATTTCTAATGCCTACACATTTCTAGGTGAAAGGAAGTTTAAGATGGTTCTTTGGTTAAAAAAAGAACAAATGTTGGCTCTCACTGTCATGGGGTATGGGGAAAGGTCAATTTGCCAATTTATTGCACTTGCTATATTCTCATGTGTATATGTTAGCAGATCCAAGTGCAGGAGGAGAAGAGTAGGACTAGAGCAGGAGGAGAAGAAGGAGACCCAGAAGAAAGAGGAGCAGAGGAAGAAGCGTACCAGTAGTAGGTGGAGAAAATAACAATCTTGACAAGAAGTAGACAGTGGTGATGTGGCAGGGGAGAGTAGATGGTGGCATGATGCTGCAGGAAGTGTAGAAGGTGGTGGCGGAGGGGAGAAAAGAGTATGTGAAAGAAAGTAAGAGAGAGCATGAGAATGAGAAAATAGAAATAAGAAAAGAAAATTATATATTGTTGTGACTCACAACCTTTAAAATAGAAGGAAAAATAGATTAGAAGTATTGGGCAGTAAGCTTACTGGCTGGTAGAGTTCTGTATCAGACTATTTACTGCTCAGTAAGTCTGGGACAATGAGCTTACCAGATGGTACATCATATATAGAACCGAACTAAATGAGAAGTGCCCAGTCCATTACCCAGTTGGTTGCAGACGGGAAAATATCGATCTGTATACACCAGTATGGATGATATTTAATTTCTTGCTGAATTTAAAGATTGAAGAATAAAAATCTGGCCGGTAAATTACTTATTTTGTTTTGTAAATTTGTTCTTATTCTCAGTCATGAAATTCTTCCTCGACATGGTTGAAATTTTGATGCTTGAACTATGAAAGAATTGGAATACACCTTTCCTCTTTTAAATTTTTTGTTTGATTTTTTATTTATTGAATTTCTTGATTCCGAGGAAAAGCTCTAAGGATCATGATTCAAAACTTATCTCATAAAATGCATGACTTTTTGTATATGGTTTGGTTCAACTTTTGACATATCGTTTAGCAGTTATGGATATTTTTATCAGTTTGTGGTTTGGGAGATTGGTTCCAAAAGATTAGACAATGTCTAAATATTTTGTAGTGATTTTCTTTATATCATGGTTTGGGTGAAAATGGCATAATAATACTCTTCAAGTATTTCCTTCAATTTTCAAATGCATGTGTCAATATTCAAGATTTTTTTATTATAAAATCTTCATTCAGAATATGCAAATAGTTGAATTAGTAATCTCTCATTTTTTTTTCCTATACTGGATATTTTATGTTGAAACTTGGAATCTTTGTCCAATCAGAAAGAAAATACTGAGAATATAAATGTTGTTCATGAATGAAGGCATCCATTTTCATTTGATAGACATTTGAAACCAAATACATTCAAGCTTACTTCTGATGGTCCATGATATTAAAACATATCTCAGAAAATAATCAGAAATTGTTTTAAAACATATCATGTCAAATGAAACTAGGTGGGTTTGGCAGAAATCGTACCTAAATTGGACTGATGAATTTGGACAGAACTGATGGAAGCTGCTGCTGTTTTGGATCTATTTTGCCCTTAACATTAATCCTTGATTTGGTTAGATATGTGGTTGAATTATAAAGATTTTTGTATGTTGGAAGTTATGTATGATGCAGCGGATGTTGCTGGGCTCATTTCACCAATCCAGTTCTAAGCTCTGTGTAACCCATGCCTTCAGAATCATGATGCTTCCCTTGCATAATAACTCTACGTTCCTACGAGCCAATCTATCATTTCTGCTTTATGTGATAACTCTATGTGTCTTTTCTAGGCTGAGGCTCGCCTGACTTTCTTGAAGAATGAAGCTGAAGAATATGCATCTAAATGTGCTGCAGAAGCTGAGAAAATAAAAGGGGAGTTCATGAATAAGGAACATCAGTTGAGTATAATTGAAAAGGAGGCAGAAGAATTTTTAAAGGTAGATTTGTTGGCTCTCCTGATTCTTTTTTAGACACAAAAGCTAATTAGATATTTATGTTTCTTCCATTATAACACATCAATTGGCTTTGTGCATTTTTTTAGAACTCTGAGAATGAGCTACAGATTACAACCAAAGAGAGTGACGAAGAAACTCAGTTGTGTGCAAGTGAACTGTTGGCTCTGATTGATACTGTGTCAGAGTACAAAGAATTCATGGAGTCCACGGTTTCAGGAATGAAGAAAGAGCTCTCTGAAACTGCAGATTTTGTATCTTCTTTGGCTGCAAAGTTGGTCTCTACTGTTAACTTCAGTCAGGGTGGCAGGAAACGAGCACGGAACCCCCCAGTGAACTAAATTTGATTCAGATGCTTTGGTTAAGTCGATAGTCTGGAGAAAGATTTGACTTGAAATCTATGGTTTCTTTTTAAATGCTAGAACACCAAAGTACATGTTATATGTCAGTTAATTCTCTCCTTTCTGTATTTGAATGACACCCTCTTCTATCAAATATTGGACCTAAATAGACATATGTTTGTGGTGAAGGGGATCAATCAAGCAAAATCATTTCTTGTTTGATTTATGTGATCTTCCACTCCAAGTTTGCATCTGAGATATTCAGTTGTGTTTATTTCGCCCTTCGATTTCTCAATATGGTTTGCATAAATGTGTATTATGTGAAACAGTGAGATTTTTTGTTAAGCTCAAAAGTAATTTTTGTACTCTCAACGTGGAATGTTCCCATTTCACGAGAGATTTCTCAATGTCCTTGAAATTTCACCTAATAATTTTTACCTCACAATCTAATATTAAATGATAAGTTCTTTACCCTTTATGATTAAATATAAAAGCTCGTTTTAACTTAAATAAAAAAAAAAGAATTATTCGCACTTATACACTTCGAGTTATTAATTTGAACATTATTGAGATCGGGATAGAAAATTTCTCTCGATTAGGAGTTTGTCATTTTCATCTATACGAGTCTGAATAACATCAAATTGATCAAGATGTCAATAATATTTTTTTCCTAATAATATCATAAGTAAAATAATCAATATATGTGTAGGTATCGAACTATACATTTTGATATTTGGTGCTCGATTGAATAGGTAAATATCGGCTATATATCGTTCTGATGCCGTAAGATGCATGCTTATGTCAGATTATATAACGATGGAAAATAACGGGTGCCATCTACATTGTGTCAATCGTGCCCAAAAAACGTAACAGAGACATATAAATCATTGGAATGGTTCCCCGTCCCGTCCTTCCCTATGCCGTCGTCCACGTGGAGAGGTCGTTCCGACCGAACCCGGACCGACCCCACCCCGCGTCACGATCATCATGAGCCCATAATTGCCGCGACGGGAGGGCAGTGTCGAGTCCACGTGCGGCCCACATGGGCCTGTCACCCACATGCGACCAAGCGACGTGGGGCCCTACATCTCGGCGATCGTACGGTGCCTGTTGCTCCTGTCGCTTTCCCCCTTTCACATCCGCCGTCGGTTTCTTCATGGTGCCGGTATTGCAATCTTACCTGTCCATCTATCCTTGCGAAGATTGGTAATAATGCATTTACTTTGAAGTGTCACAGACCTGAAGCCCTAAACAAACCAACCTACGGTACGCTGAGATCAGCGGAGGAGGAGTGAAGGAAGCGTACGTGTGGGGGGTGGGATGGGCGAGGAAACAAATAATAAGGCAATGATGAAAGGTTTGGGAGGAGCGTAGGGTTACAGGCGCTTGTCGGGTTATGGGGAAAGAGCATGCACCATAGGTACCACCTGCCAACTTAAGCTGAGAACAGCCCATATATAGCTTCCTGGGAAATGAAAGAAAAACGCTGTATCAGGTGCAAATCTAGAGGGAGAGAGAAGTAAGAACACGGGAGAGGAAGCAGCGGCATTGATGTTTAATGGTGAGTTGCGCAGTTATTGCCAAATGTCATTGATATTTAACTGTGGAATAAGTACGGCTAGTCATCCCCGTTCTCTCTCCCACCTCTTCAAAACCATACACTCACTTTCGACTCTCCCCATCCCCTTCTCTCTCTCTCTCTCTCTCTCTCTCTCCCTATGGCTTCTTCTTCTTCATGTTCTTCTTCTTGCGTAGGACTCCAACTTCTGTTGAGGTTAGGTTAAGGGGAATGTTGTCTGGCTCGAGGTCATGTGGCGCACATGCATGCATGGTGGGATGAGCTATTTGAACTCGGACCAGGCTTCATTCCTCTCAACCAACAGCTGCTCTCCTGATGAGCTTCATGTTTCTGAGGGTAAGCCTTCCTCGGTTCATTCTTTTTCCTTTTTGTTCTCATAAGGTTGGAAGATTACTTTCTGTTTCAAATAGACTGACAAGACTGGACCTTTATCTCTTGCAACACAGCTTTCTTCCTTGAAACATTTGCTTTCATGAGCACTAATGATGAGATCATTTGCCGATGGGAGTCAGAAGGATAATGGGGAGACTTGAGTTCTCTTCCTCCTTTTCTTCGTGATTTCAAACCTCTTTTCGGATGAAAAAGGAGCAAAACACAACCGACAGAGCATAATAAGCTTTGGATTTTATATAGGGTCTCATAAATGCTATTCTCACGCAGTACTGTTCATGAAATGGAGATGCCATAGTGTGACTTTAACGAAAAAGAAGCCACTTTCTCGCTTCCAAGAATTTCCGGTCACTTCGATGTCTTCACTTCATAGTCCAACAGGAAACACCAGAGAGAGAGAGAGAGAGAGAGTGTGTGTGTGTGTGTGTGAAGCCATGCTTTTGTTTCCATGGTAATAGTAGAAACAGATGCTGAGCAGCCGTGGCAGCTGGCGAGGTACAGGTTTGGTCCCACTCTCATGATAAATACCCCATTATAGTTGGCCTACAAAGTTATGGGAGCTCAAGCTTTTGTTGTCATCATATACATTACTGCTGCTTTTTATACATAGTAAACAGTATGCAACACAGATTAGTTTAAGATGCTAAATCACACATATGTATATATATACATATATATATATATATATATATATATATATATATATATATGTATGTATATATATGTGTGTGTTTGTGTGTGTTCAGAGAGAGAGAGAGAGAGAGAGGGTGAATGGATGAGGCATCTGGGGAACTGGGGTGAGGCATTGGGCAGCGATGGTCCAAAGGGGTTTTCGAGGAGGACCGACGTCACCCATGCAAGCTTGTAAGATAGCATTTACTGTGTGTTTTTGTTTGCAATGTCCATGCGAGTGCTACAAGAACTCCGGACCTTTTTAATTATGTTTGTAAAAACACCAACAAAAAGAAGTTGTTTTCGTTTATAGAAACATGTGCCAGGATCACAATCTTGTTCATGGAACTCACATCTTTGAGATGTTTTGAATGTGATGGTATCTACTTCTTTCTGCATCAAAAAAGATGAGCACAAAATAAAATCAACTTTTTTCTTGATAAAGATTTGCTGAGAATGAAAAATCTCAAAATATTAGACATAATTTAATGAACTCCGACAATTTCACTAAAAGATGGCTTGTGAAAAATATCTCTTATTCCACAATTTAATTAAAAAAAATCCCTCGGAGTACTTAATTATAGTGTGATGGATATAATTATAAAAAATTGGGCATATGTTCAACGATCTCAACAACCCTTATAGCATTTGAGGAGTTACTGCTTGAAGAATATTAGAATAACTATTTTGTTCTTGAGACTGACATGGAATACACCTTGGCCACTTAACTACAGTGGATGTGTTGCTGCTGCAGTCTTAAGTTGCATGCCTTTTCCACAATTCCATTAATTAGTACGTGATGCATCTTCCTGTCTTGATCTAATATTATTCGTCATGGCCAATTGGAAATGTGTTACACTCGATAAGATTCGGCAGATCGAGTGCTGCACAAGAGCAGTAAATTTAAGGCTTGCAAAGATTTATGATGATTCAATTATCACGTACAATTTTCAAGCCGAGGTTTCGGGAGAGATTGTCGGTAGTTTCCATACCATGAATGAGTTTCTACTTCTCCACATGCAAAACACATCCTTCTTCGTTTATTTTCTTTTGATCTTTCCTTGTTTGGAGTGTCGATATATGGGTTAGCTAAACTTCACAGTGAACAGTGTCCCCATTTTACGTATCTCATGATAATTACCATAACA